TTTATCAATCACCTGTTATTTTCCATTTAAAAAAATGTTTATTAGGTTCAGAAATGCGCATCGACAGCTCCAGATTAATGTTTAAAGACGAGAGCTTGTCAGGGATAAGAAAAGAGGATTATCTCCGTTCTGCAAAGCACTTCAAACCAGCATTTTTCTTTGTTCTCCTCACTTTCCGAACTCACTATCAATTCTTGTTTGAATGCATCCATCCATTCGCCATTCGATTATCTCGGTCTTAGACAATTTGTCACCAACGCTGGAAGGAATTAATGCTTGTATAGAGGCCTATTCGTGCCTGTCGGCATCCGGAATGTGGAGGTTCAATGAATATAGAACATTATTTTGGAATGCATGATTGATATCGAAACAGCCAACACGAGGTGATAAATTGTATGCTGAAATTGAAAAAAAAATCGCGAATCGTATGTGCGACTGGAATTTGACGTCAGTTGTCTGATAAAACGATGTTGGTACAAGAAGGGCAATCGATTTGGATTTAGGCAAAATTGCTGAGCAAATGAGCAAATTCAAAACCCCAGCAATTCATCAGCTGTATGTAGCAAGAGTTGATGAGCAGCAAAACACGATGAAGTTTTCAAAACCTGAACTTGCACTATTGAAAGTTCATTCGCACTCATCACTTTTTCTTTTCGAGAACGTTTTTGAGATGTCCAACTCATCCAATGTACTCAACAGATGACTTGACAAAAAATTTGACAACGTTATCAAAAGTATTTTTGTCATGTCAGTGTCAGTTTTGTCATGATATGTGACAAAAAAAAGTATTTTGAGATCTAGGCGCAGTCGGAAAAGAAGTTCGGATGTAAATTCAGCCAAAAAAACTGAGAATAATGCATTGAAACTTTGGAATTTTCCCAGTTCGGTACAGATTCTAGATGAATATCTGCTCGAATCAGTTGCAAAAAACATCTGCTCAAGATGGTGTTTTTAGGAAAACGATAGTGAAATGATCCGTGAGGCGTTCCGTGTGTTCGATCGAGACGGTAACGGTTTCATAACTGCCGAAGAGTTCAGATACTTTATGACACATATGGGTGAGCAATTCAGCGATGAGGAAGTCGACGAAATGATCGCTGAGGTTGATATCGATGGTGACGGTCAGGTTCGTTGTGCTCTTTCATTGGCACCTCTACTGACTCTATTTTCAACGCATCATCATTCCAGTTCAGGAAGTGACTTAGTCAAATTATTCCTTTATAAACTGATAGGCCAGTGCAATTCGGTCATGATTGAATCATGAAATTTCCGTACAGTTCAGCAACTCAGAGATTTTTAATAGAAAAAGAGGCATCTGCTGTATATTTGACCTAGCAACCATGGGACTAAACAATGTAAATGATAAGGAAGGGGAAGAGCGATAAGAAATGTGATAAAGAAGGGGTATAACAGTATAAAATAAATGCGAGTAACAGTAACAATTGCCTCAATGCTAATGACGACAATTTCGATCGTAATGATAACAACATTCGCATCAATAGTCACCATATAATCCAGAAATATCAATCTCTATTCGCCTTAATCCTGCTCAATAATCCTATCGTGTCATAACATCTCAAACGGTATAGAATTCAGCCTATAGGATTTGTTTGAGAATTCGGCTGTCGACATTCAATATTTTTATTGGCCTCATTCGGATTAACGTTCCCCGGTTGAACATAGAAAACTATTTGGTTGAATGTAAGTAATGTGGTGGTGGATTTGCTAAGCGTATATTATATTGAATATGAGCGATTCTGCTATTTATCACAAAAAAAATTCTCATATAAATAAAATATTTTTGCATTTTTGAGATGTATTCTATGTGTGGGTGTGTGCTTGTCGTCTGTCTCATCCATCACAAGACTTTTATGTTTTCCCAATTTGCTAACAATAAGCAAATTCAAATTTCTGCAATTCATTTTACGCTCAAAACCATGAAAAATTCAAGCGAACAGCTACACCTACACTCGGCTTCATTCGAAATATTCACTGATCGTGAGATTAATTCCCCTCTTCACTATTCAATTAAGTGCTGCTTCGGTTATTAACTTCAGTTATTAACTTCAGATTCATCAGAGAAAATCTTAAATTTGATGTGACCTTCCTTATCTATCAATACCCTAATCCAACTCAACCCTCTAAATGATCTACCTTACCTTATCAAATCCTTCGCTAGAGACGTGTAGGTTCAATGTTTGCACTCTTCCAACGAAATTGAGATAGTGATTGAGTTTCTCAACTCCGTTGTGTCAGCACTGGTCAATGATTTCCTTGCTGAAGAAGTCTTTAATGGCCATAAGCAACATTTTATGAATTGGGCACACATATACGTATCAAACAAACCGCTTGAAGGAAGAGATAAATTGTAAATTCTATTCTAACGATTTCACATTTTCATTTCATTAATGCATCAGTGATGATGACAATAAATGAACATGTTTCGCTACATAAGGGTATTTTGAAGACAATATATAAATATGATGAAGACATTAATAATGAACTATGTGAGTATAATCTCTCAAAATTGCTTAATGTAAAAGAAATGGTGTGTTTCAAACAATTTGTGACAATTTAACTGATCTCACCGGGGAGTCACCGTAAAATTTGGAGCTTCGAGAACCTATCAGCAATACCATATTTCTGGATCGTGACATATAAATGAGAATCTGGTATCCAAGAATCGCTTCCACGTTCCTAGTGGGTAATCCATAGTGGCAGATATGATATGATAACTTTTAGGAAAACACTAACAGACGTATGCTGTCGTAAATGAGTTTCATTATGCCAGGACTTGATCTACTACAGATACATAGTAACTGATAAGAGAAGTCTGCGATCTCTAGGCCTTGTTTCAGATACAAATGCGTTCAGATTTTGTTAACAGCTCATGAGTCACACTGCTTCATAAACATCGATTTACTGCATTGTGAATTTACATCAATCACATAACTAGATTACAATAACACCTTAATATTGCAACTATTCACGATAAAATGCAGCAAATCAGTTGGTTTAACCTAATACAAGGGCCATATTGAAAGCTTCTTAAAGTGCTCTCAACAGATCGTTCATGATTACTAAACTTTCAGATAAACTACGAAGAATTCGTTCAGATGATGACAACATCATCATGACAGCATGACAGCCCTTGACCATCCTATCCAAAACAACAGGTTCATTCCCTTACTCTTAATTAATTTCATTACCTCTTCTGTTATTTCCAATCAACTAAGAGAGTTTGTTAAGATTTAAAAAATATCACTTCCATCCTAACAAACAAACAATAGAAAATTTCTTGATTATTTTCAAAGTTGAATCTGCAAAATGATTCAATTCCTTCAATTTCAGGCCTAAATCGTCGGGTCGTGCAGCTCGTTGTAATTCGATTCGCCGCATTCTTTTCAAGCAACACAAAACATCTGCTGTCAGCTGCAGTTCCGTCCATGTTTTTTGCCTTTTCAAGCCTTCAAAAAAATTTTCGGTTTTTTGTTTTTTATTGAATGAATGTTTCAAGTCAATACTCTCTCTGTTGCATTTGTGATTCAAAACATCATATATCTCGGATTATATAATGTCTTATTATTATCATTATTATTATTATTATTGTTATTATTACTACTATTATTATTATTACTATTATTATTATTGTTATTATTATTATTATTGTTATCATTATTATTATTATTGTTATTGCTATTATTATTATAATTTTTATTTTTATTGCTAATATCACTAACCATCACTCTTATCACGCTAACCATCAGTCAATGATCTCTCTTCGCATTATTCATTATTATCAACATTTTGATAAGTTACAATCAAGCAAGGTCAGTCTTATTGAATTTCGCTAAACACATGCAAGCTGAATTGTAATGTGCTGTAAATTCTTACAATTTTGACCATGTCTTAATTTTTTTTTGTTCTGTTTTTCATTCGGTTGTTCATTTGTTCCTCTCGTCATTGGTCTGCTGATTACGATGGTATTCTTTCCATGCGTTTTCATCGAATTTCTTGTGGCTTCATTTGGGTTTTTTTGTCACTTTTTCGTTCATACTATGCACTGGAAAATATGTGCAATCACGATGAAAATCTCCAAGATCCGGTTCAAACGATTTGCTCTGATATGAGATAAACTGTGTTCATGAAAGGCCTTATGTCCTAGCTTTCCCTTACGAGAGCGTGACTCTTTACGTGTTTTTGGATCTTTTTTCGAATTCTCACTAAAAATGTGACACTTTTATGTAGTCAGTGAAAAATTATTCACAATTATCTTATCGGAATTTCAGTTGTATTTTTACAAAATTGTTAAATGGTTGAAAAGAAAGAGAAATTATTTGTGAGCGTTTCAAATCTCTTGTCAAATGGTTGTCTGTTGTACACAAGAGTAATTACTGTTTCATGAGAACTACTGTATATTTGCTTGCTGCCTTCGTTCAATGTAAATATGTTTTTTGTTAAAATATAATTCGTGCTGCACGATCTACAACGACTCAACAAGAAAATGAATAAAGAACATTGTCGACTCAACAAATGCCCACCGCTGTCTTATATATTAATCGTGAACAATCACTATAACCATTCATTATCGTTTGCTTTTATCCGTATGAAATATGGAATAAGGAATGGTCCGAGAAGAATTGATGATAGATTGAAGTGTTGGTGGAGCAACTCATCAATTTGGTTCCATATCACCCATAATCCAGTTTAGTAATAATCATGAGTGGAAGTTCCACTGATGGGGCTTTTCAGGATTGAAGGCAGGATTGGGTATTTTGGTAATTGAATGCTTTTCGCGAGTTATTCCACATTTATACAATATTGTTCCCGAAAAGCTTGATGGGTCAAAAGGAATTGATAGCTGCGAAACAATCGATGAATTCTCAGGCGAATGCACTTTGATCGGCAGATCACTTTTTTGGTTCTCCACTGATTTGTTGGTAAGAACTGATCAATTATCAGCGAAAGAGGGTAATCGTAATCACAGAGATTGCTCGAGGGAGTACGACAGCCTGTCACACGTCTGAAGAAGGTTATGGAGCGCTAAATCTTGAGAAGTATTGGTTCAATCAGAGGTCACAGGCAATCAGTCGGGACTATTCGATTGAATAATCCCATTTGCCACCCATTCATGGCCGAAACTGACTCCGTAGAGTGCCGATTCTACTATCATTTCGGAATTCCATCATCGCAAGTTTCGCTAAACAAACTACTTCTCAAATTCCCTTAACAGAACTATTGAATATGGAAATTGCATAGGGTATGTTCAGATGATCATTACGTTCAGATCTTGTTAGCACAAGGATGGTATTCACCATTGCTAGTCTTCTCTTATTGTTAGACAATTGTGTTGCTCACTGTTGCAATCGATTATGATTGCGTGAAAGGCTATTGTCTGTGACACTGATTTAGATGAATTCTCATTCTTTTCAGACGTGTT